TTAAGACTCACTTGATCTAGAAGTATCCCAAAGTACTGGAGCAATGGTGAAGCACCACCGCCAGGATTAGCAGGACATTGTTGGAACTTCTGGATTGTCTGCGGTGTCCTTAGAATACCCTTAAAATATCAGTCTAATACGAAAAGCGACCATTTGTAGAGAGTTCATGAAATTATGACAAATGTCAAGGCTTACCTGTGGGGCGGTGGCAGCAACTTTAGCGGCTTCACCATATTGACCATTTCCGAAGAGCAAATTGAACTTGCGGACAAACAATTCTTCTGCTCCTAAAAATTTATAGAATGATTTCCGAAGGTAATGAATTCGATGATCCGATAAAAATACTTACCAGGTAAGTCACAACGCACTGCAAGCCTAAGCGCCAAGTCGGGATTTTGCAATTGCTGAGTTACAAATGGAATCATGTTGTTTTCGTCAATAGAAACGGAAAGCACCTGAAACAAAGGATCATGCTCACAGGCTACTGAGCAAAGTGTGAAAAAGCAGAGCTACTGAAGTAAGCAAATTATGAGAAACTAACTTGTCCCTTTCTGTTGATACCCATAATTCCACCAGTTGCATGATACTCGCAGGTGACAAAAACAGTGTCAGTGGAGATACGATTTGAATAGATACGTGAACCCGATTCCATGTCGTATAAATGCACAAGGCCATGCTTTGTGACCAAGTAGATGATACCATGCTTAGAGGAAGTCTGAAAACATACATTTTAAAGTGAATTTATTGGCGGATTTTGCTAAATAAAAGATTTTGAATAATGAAGAAGGAATGGATGATAAATATATTAAAACAGTACGTTTGTGACTAAGTAAATAACTAATAAATAGTGAATAAATGACAAATGGTGTAATTGCAGGACAGCATGTGAATCGTGCGTCAATCGTTTTCATTGGATAGAATAATGTACAAATAACTACACGTACAATAAAACCCTTAACTTAAATCGTCTTCAATTGCACTTGAAAGAAAAGAAGCGCTACAATGGAAAGCCTACTTGCCATAATAACGCCATGCGTGAATGAAAGCGTTGAAAGAGTGCTATTCTTGACCTTTTAGATTTCACAATTCTTTTGAAAATAACCATGGACATTTCCTAATTCTGTTCCCAATTGTGTTTCATCTTCCACGCATGTCAGTCCCTATCTAGCAGAGACATCGATATACATGTAGCGCAATGTTTACAAAAAGTATCCAATTTCCTTGATTAGCCCGATAAACGATGGGATGGGAGCGCTTCAAAATAAAACCAATGGTTGCAAAAGGGTTATGAAAATGACACTGAAATCAGAATCTCATATGTTACATTTCCTATAAATCACATTCACTGACAACCATGTACGATCCCCGAGACAGCGATAGATATTGATTGCGGCTGACGCTCCTTCTCTTTTTCGCGATTTGTAAAGAGATGACACATCTATGCGGAGAAAAGACTGTTTAGAAAGTTTTGACC